CCCGGTGTTTGCCATCGGGGTTGGGTTTTCGTCGCTTGGCAACGTTGTAAAACAAGCCGATTCACCTCGTGAACTCGGCAACCAGGTTACCGTTTGTATTCTTTTATCTCTGTTTTTCTTTTTCGCGGTAACCATTATGGTGGTCGAGAAGATCATGTTGTGCGGGGTCGAGAACCCTCACTCGCGCAAAGGGGATGATCGCACCACGTTGTGTTACAATGGTCAAGCATCCTCGAGGCAGATTCACAGCTCTTACGACTGTCTCTGGAAGTGAAGTACCAGAAAATAAATTAAGGCATACGCAGCTGTCGTCCGAACACCCTTCCTTCTTAGCAGGATGCAGCGCACCCTCCATGCGACTCGCCGAATACCTCACGGCGCTTCGCGCTTGGTGATGTGAGGGCCTGGTCCGGTGAGAACCTGGCGTGCTCCGTCCCGCTTTGTAGGGATGCGAGGTCAATGGTCTAACGACTACGGCATGCACGACTATGCGTACACCCCCCCGTCCCTGGCCCCCCTTCTTTCCATTTGACTTTGATGCAGGCATCGTTGCGTGCTGATCCTGTGTTTCCACATCAGACTTGTGCATTGGCCTTGGCCTTGTTTCTTTTCCACGTGTGCAGTCGGGGCCATGAAATCGTTTGGCATGGCATTCGTGTTCGGTCCCCCCCCCCTGCCGCCGTCCGTGTTTTGTTTGATGCCGGCATCGCGGCGCATCGACCCTGTTTCCAGATCAGACTTCGGGACTGGCCTTGACCATTGCCACAGGTGGGTTCCTGGTGTGTAGTCAGATCCATCATCTTGTATGGTTTCGGATACATGTCCGCCCCCCTTTCCAGTTGTTCTTCTCTGATGCTGGCATCGTAGAGTGCTAATCCTGCTTCTGGTCAGCACCTTAGCGCGCTAGTCTGGTTTCTATGGCCGACTTGTTTGATGCCCTTGACCTGTAGCCTTAGGGGTTTTCCTCATGTGCAGTTAGGGCCGTCCACTCGTCGCCCCCCCCTCCCCAGTTTTGCTTTGATACTGGCATCGTAGCGTACGAATCCTGCTTCTGATGCCAGCATCATGGCGCGCGGCTCTTGTGCTTCTATGTTTGACTTGTTCGTTGATCTTGACCATTTTGCCATTGGGCTTTTCCTTTTGTGCGATCAGAGCCATGGAATGCTTTTGATGTGGAATAGATGTTCGCCCCCCCCGCCCTAAATTTGTTTTTTGTTTAGCTCAGATGCTATTTTCGCAGTCGAAGAGCTACAAGGGAAGAGGAAGAGCGACATTTAGGTAGTCGTAAATTCAAGCGAGACATTAGTACTGGTGCTACATATTTTTCTGTCCATAGGTCCTAAGGTAGAATATGGCAGTCGACCAGGAAGTCTTCCTCCCTGAGGAGCGCGGGTTGATGGAAATAGCTGATCCGTCATCCTCTGAACAAAGCGCCACGTTCTTCAGCGTCGCATTGCACCGTCAACACGGACCAACGATATTGTCGGATTTCGCTCGGTGTTTTCAGTATATTTTGCCGAGACTACCGTTGGGTGCACCGCGAGAGAAGACCGGGTGGGTTGCTTGCTCAATACATTGCTAAGGCCGCCTTCCTTCGACCCGTATATGTGGCATGCGGTGGCAGTTGCGGAGCGACTTTTCGTGAGCCTCATTTTTTAAGTAGGACAAACTTTTTTGTTCTTTTCGCTCGAAGAAGAAACGTCGACAAAAGGCAAACCGCCATTCATTTTGCGCCGCTCATGGCAAGTTGGCCAAGGGCGACTAGTTCTTGTTCTCTTATCCCACGTAGTGGCAGTCCCTCGCATCCAAAAGTGAAAAACAAAGATGAAGTACGACCGTGCCTAAAATAAAGTTCAAGCACGCCGTTCCCGCCTGAGCGACAACGATAGCGATGCCGGGCGCACGTCGAATGGGCAAAAAAGCGGGGGATGACCGCAATTGAACGATGTTGTTGTTCGCCGGCTAAGGCGCATTCGATTTATTCGTTTGACTTTGTCTCTCTCAGCCTCCCCTCCCTTCCCCTCTACCCACCCACTCCCCGGGCCTTTCGCATCAACGCCGGCTCAAATACTCCCACGCCGTATACGTTACAGACCCTCTAAAACTTGGCCTTGCGTGGGTCTTATTTCGCTCTCGCGTAAGTACGTCCACACACCACAGATCAGCATTGTCTCCTTCGTGTTATACATTTCTAACGAGCCCGCTCGTGGCAACGGTACTCCTCTAGAGCACCCATCATCATTCGATATCTCATAAATATTTCCAACCGTTTCTTGCCCTCTTCACGTATGTACCACTTCTAAACACGCCTTCGCCTGGACAAAAAAGGAGAGGGTCCCGTCGCGAGAAAGCAGACAAGACGCGTAGCCGCACAGGCGTTGAAGCGCGAAAAAAAAAAAAAAACAAGGAAGGGTGTCCGATAACAGCGTCATCACCGGCATAAAACTCCACTTCTCATCACTTCAAGTAAATCCACAACATGTGCATCCCACAAGAAAGAACACCACCAACAAGCGAGCGAGCTAAGCTTAACCACCCAAAACCACACACACACCCGAACAATCAACTCTTGCACACTCACTAGCTCGGTTTTTAGGTTACAACAGAGCAAAAAATGCCACCTGCCTGGGTAGCCGGAGTCAAACATTCTGTAAGGTGAGCGAAGCCGGGGGGGGGGCGACACAATACGTACATAAAAAAAAAAAAACGGATATTACATCACGAACGAACATCGATAAATCTACTGAAAAAATGCTAAACAAGAAGCAGCAGCAGTCGTCGCTAGTCCTGAAACTTATGGGGGACACCTCGAGAACCCCAACATCACCGCTTTTGTCACACCCCGCCCGCGAAAAGAAACACAATGATGCCGGCGCGCGCAAACACACACATGATGACCCCACCCCACCGCTTCGGTCCCAGATCATGGCCTTCAGAAGAAGCGTGTTCAGTTTTCAACGGCACTGAGACTGGCGGATTTGCGCTAATTGGTCGGTTAATTTTCTAGGCCGATGCTAGCAATCAAGAAACAAATATGGCAGTGTGTTATCGAAAACCACCAAGACCGGACGAAGACGCGACAACCCCCCCCCCACCCCCCCCCCCCCCCCCGGGGTGTTTGCCATCGGGGTTGGGTTTTCGTCGCTTGGCAAGGATGTTGTAAAACAAGCAGATCACTTCGCAAGCTCGGCAACCAGGTTGCCGCTTCTTTTGCCTTCGGGTTCTTCGTTTGCGTTCACCATGAATGGTGGTCGAGTAGATTCGTGAACTCGGCAACCAGGTTCCCGTTTTTTTTTTTTACCTCTGTTTTTTTTAAGGCGGTAACCATGAATGGTGGTCGAGTAGATCCTGTTGTGCGGGTCGGAGAACCCTCACTCCGCGCAAGGGGGATGATCGCACCACGTTGTGTTAAAATGGTCAAGCACCCTCGAGGCAGTTACACAGTGCTTACAACTGTCTCTGGAAGTGAAAGCACCAGAAAATAAATGAAGTCATACGCAGCTGTCATCCGTATGCAAGGAATTAAGCACAAGATGTGGAACACCGTTAGCAGGATGCAGCGCACCCTTCATGCGACTCGCCGAATATCTCACGGCGCTTCGCGCTTGGTGATGTGAGAGCCTGGTCCGGTGAGAACCCGGCGTGCTCCGTCCCGGCTTTGTAGGGATGCGAGGTCAATGGTATAACGACTACGGTATGCACGACTATGAGCACCCCCCCTCCCCCCCCTCTAGTAAAACTTGGGGGTGTCCACGTACGCCGTACGACTCCGCGGCGCCCCCACGCTCGTCGCCTCCACCTCCCGCCGCTCTCGGGCTGCCAAGCTCCGCCGAATTTCGGACAGCGTCTGCCCGTCATACCCCGCGTTGGACCCGCTGCAGCTGCCCGAGTAGGACCTGCCGGACCGCACGCTGCCGTTGGACCGCACGCTGCCACCGCCGCCGCCGCCCGACCCTGCTCTCGCGGGGAGCCCCCCCCTCGCCGAGAGCCCCTGCTGCTGCGTCAACACCGCCCCGGGGACGTTCGACGGGAACCCCGCCGCAGACGCTGCCGTTCCCAGCTGCCTCGACGCCAGGTATGACGACGCTGACACCGACGATGACGAGGAGGAGATGGACGTGCGCAGCGGCGATCTCCGTCCGGTTAGCGCCGCCCGCGATAGAGAGGAGGAGGAGGATCCCGGTCTCGTAAGCCCTGCCGCCCGGAGGTAGTCGGATTTCCGGTAGGCGGAGGACGGGCGGGCAAACGCTGGGCTCGGGGATCGCTCGCTGCCGCTGAGTTGTCGAGAGAGGGAGGCCGTCGAGGAGCCCGCTCTCGCTCCGTACGAGTAGCTGCTGCCGCCGTAGCTGTAGTAGCCTGCTGACTCCCCTCGGTTCCGCCACTCTCCCCCTTCGTCCCCGGCCCCGGCGAAACCATCGCCAACGTCCCTCCTTACGCCGCCGCCGCCGCCGCCGCCGCCGCCGCCGCCGCTACTGCTGCGAGCGAAGGAGCAGAGACCGCCATCGCGAGACAGCGGCGACGACGACGACATCCCCCTCGACGACCGGGCTTCCCCTTCGCCCGCGCCGGCCCGGCGCGCACGAGCCTCGGTGGTCGACGCCGTCGAGCGGGGGTACAACCTGTAGTCTGACAGCTCGCGCGGAGGAGAGGGGTTCGACGACTCCCTTCGTCCTGCGGACTGCGTGCCCCCCCCCGCCGCCGACGCCCGCCGCCGACGCGTCGGCGACGTCGCCGCCTCCACCGGGAGGTGGTATGCGTCCCAGCTGCTGCTGCCGCCGTGCCCCCCGCCCAGGTCGAAGTCGTGGTTCGCCCCCGCCGCCACGGCCGCCACGTGCGGTAATCTCCCGCTGCTGTGGTAGCGCCGCTCCCCCGAGGCGATGCTCCTGGCCAGCGACATGGTGTCGATCCCGTCCTGGACGGAGCGGCTGCCGCGTTCCGTCAACGGGTAGCGGTCGAACGGCGCCCCGGAGGGGTCCTCCCCGCGCGGACGGCGCGTGCGGGAATGATACCTTGCCTTGGGGGGCGCCGTTTCTGGCCTTGTCTCCACCCCGCCCCCTGCTCGAGCCCCCGTCGCCCCGCCTCCTCCTCCTCCGTCGTGGCTCGAAGACCCGCCGCCGGCAGCGAGTCGCCGCCCAACCTCATCGGCCCGGCTCTCACCCTGAGGTCGTCGCTCTGCCGCCGCGATCGCCAACGACGACGTCGCGAGCCAAGGGATACTACTGCGTCCGCCGGTAGCAGCCTCGCCATCGCCGCCGGGGCTGCTCCCCCTGGGGTGCGGCTGCCCGCGCCGCGAACCCGCGCCCCCCGACCTTGCCGAGCGCCACCTCTCCGTGGCGTGGTACGCCTCCGTCGCGGCGGCGAAGGCGCGCACGGAGGCCGCGACTCCCGTTGACTCCCCGGGCTTCTCCTCCCCCTCCTCTTGCCCAGCAGCCGCCGCTGTATCATCGGCTCCGGCTACAGCGGACGCTCTTCGTGCCGGTGGCGGCGGCGGCCCGGCCGTACCCGTGCTGTTTCTCCCCTTGCTTCGTCGCCTCGAGCCTGGTGCTGCTGCGGTGTTCGCCACCCTCCAGTCTTCCTCAACGCCGGCGGTGGCGGAGGCGGCGGCGGTCGACCGGGCATCCCCGAAGTGCTGCCCAGGGTTCGCCCCTTCCGGGGTGATGGCCGGAGAACACGCCGGCTTGCGCTTCCCGTTCGTCGTGGCCGCAACCTCCGCCTCTCCGTTGCCATTGGGCGGCGGACTGTTGAGGCCCATGCCTTCCTCCTCCCCCGGAACGTGTACGGAACGAGGCATCCCGGAAGCAGACGCTCCGCCGTCGTCGCCAGCGCCGTGGCCGGAGAAGTCGTCCAGTCTCAGGTCTAGCGGGCTGGCGCCGGCAAGCTTCCCGGGCCGCGCGCCATCGCCCGCGCCGCCCGACCCACCGGTACGGCTTCCGACGCCATTCCCGCTCCTCGGCGAAGCGGGGGGGCCGCCTGCCGCCGTGCTGCTGATGCTATCGCTGCTGCTGGCAGTCCGCCCACCGTCCGACAACGACGAGGAGGCAGCGGTCGCAGTAGCGGTAGCGACAGCGGCGGCGGCGGCGGCCGTGTCGCTCGCTGCCGACCCAACAGAATACCTCCCTCGGCCGGTTGCCCACGCCCCGACCGCGGACAGCATGTCGAGGGGGGCGGAGAGAAGCCGGCTGCCGATGGGCGGGGACGCTACCGGGGGGGAATCCTCACTCCCACCACCTCCGATACCACCATCAACACCGCCGCCGTTTCCCTCTGCGCGAGGGCTGCTTTCCGGTCTCTCGAGTCGTGCCCGACGGCCATCTGTGTCCTCTTCGCCGCTTGGCCTTCCCGCTTCTCCCGCCGGCACGCCGACAGCGTCACCGCCGCCGCCGCTGCCATCGTCATAACAGGCTGCGCTCAACAATGCCGCAGCACTGTCGGCGCGCGGAGCTGCTCCTGCCGACCCCGCTTCGCCGCCCTCGGCGCCACCCCCCCTTAACGCCACAGCGCCGCCGCCGCCGCCGCCGGCTATGGCCGTAGGACCACCACCACCAGCGACGGCACCCTTATCCCTCTCTCCGTTACCGTCGTCCACGAACAAGCCCGCGGTGGGGCCGTCCGACAGGTCGGTGGTGCTGGACGCTGACCAGCTGCACAGCCCGTCTCCGTGCTTCGTGGCGGTAGCGGCGGGGGGCGCCGGCGGCGGCGGCGGCAACTTTGCTTCGGACGGGGCTAACGGGACCGGGGGCCCCGGCGGCGATTGTGTGGGGCCCTGTTTGTCCCCGTCTCCGTCGGTTGTTGCCGGCGGCCGGGTCGGGGTCGGGGTCGGGATCGGGATCGGAGGGTTGTCGTTTTCCCCCTCCGATGCCAGCAAGGCCCGTTTTATTTCCTCCTCCTGCACGAAAAAGACGACACAAAAACAGTAACATTGTTATGGGGGAAAAGAAACACGGCGACCAACGACCAAAAATGTCTTAGCAGCGATACTTCGAAGTGATGTAGGTGCCGAGATGGTCTAGTTGCATACGAAGTACTTCTTTGGTGACTACTACATGCTGACACTGTGCTACTGCTGCAGCTCCTGCTGCTACTCTTCGGGAAGCAATCATGCCAGGTAGAAGCTCTAGAAAGAACATAAGGGTGAGGGGGGGGGCTCATGGTCGTGCGTGCCGTAGTCTCAAGACCATTGAACTCGCTCCGGAGGGGGCGGGGTTCGATGAACCCCCCCCCGCCAAAAATATTATCGCGGCTTGTGTCCCTGTTGAAACCAGTCGCGCAGTCTAAAACAAAAATACGATGCGTTGCTGCTGCACATGTGCCAACCAAGCAACCACCAGCGAGACAGTACAGCTGCTGCACAACGTTTTACGCAAGGTCAGTCCCACGAAGGTCCCCTCTTGTGGAGGGCCTACCCCTAACCCTAACCAAGGGGGCCTGCAAAGCCGGGACGGAGCACGCCGGGTTCTCACCGGACCAGGCTCTCACAGCACCAAGCGCGAAGCGCCGTGAGGTATTCGGCGAGTCGCATGAAGGGTGCGCTGCATCCTGCTAAGGGTGTTCGGCATCTTGTGCTTACTTCCTTGCGTACGGATGACAGCTGCGTATGACTTAATTTATTTTCTGATGCTTTCACTTCCTGAGACAGTTGTGAGCACTGTAACTGCCTCGAGGGGGGGGAGGGGGGGGGGGGTTACGAAGGCTCATCCTCCTCCCCCCCGACGCCAAACAATTTCCTAGATAAACACGCCCATACCAAATCCTACATATAAAGGGGGCACATTTCATGCACGGGGGTATAGCAACAACCCACGTAGCCCCTGAGCGAGCTTGAGCTTGCGCGCATACCGTCCGTATGGCAAAGGAGAGAGAAAGAGCTTGGGGAGGGTAGGGAAGGGGAGAGGAGGAGGAGAAGGGGGAGGGTGAGGTGTGGGAGCGAGAGGGGACGAGGAGGTAGGGCGAAGGCGCTCGGGGCGAAAAAGAGCTCGAAGAAACGGCGGTTTGGTCTTGTTGAGGGAGGTGGAGGGGCCTGGGGGAGTGAATAAGTACTTGAACGCACGACATTTAATTGCAATTGATTGTGGACGGGTGTTGCACGTGGTGAAGAAGGTGATGCCACCGCGGCCGTAGATTCATCGGCAGCCCCTCTTCGGCATGTATGTTGCCGGCTTGAGTATGCTTGGATTGATGACGTTTTGACGCATGGTATTTATGCGTCCTTTGGTTCTGATGTGTCGTGTGTTATTTCGCCATGTTCGCCCAAGGTTAAATGGCCGGTAGCCCCGGTGGTCTAGTTGGTAACCTCGAAACATTCTAGAGGTCAGGTCAGGGGTTCGAATCCCGGCGCAAGCGAGATTTTCTTGCAAGTAGAGTGAGTTGTTCTCTCGCTTCCGCTCCTGACCTAGTGGACAGCGTAAGTTCGTGTGTACACAGAGGGAAGAGAGTGCTGAACTCTTCTCGCATTTAAGATCGAAGACAAAGTACTGCAGGAGGGGAGGGTAGAGAGGGGCTCTTCGGGGTGGAGTAAACGGCACCAGTGCTGTGAGCACTGATTTGAAGTTAAGACAAAAAAAAAAATGGCACGGACTTGTCGCAGAAGCGTTGGGAAGCTGACAGAATACTTCTAGCTTGAGGGGGGGGGTGTCCCCAAGCACTGTGTAGTTAGTAGCCCATCACAGCTATCACAGCTATATTTATTTATACGAAGTAACAATCTTCCAGCGCCGAATGTACACACCGTTCACTGTCTCAAACCTATCAAACAACTGTACCTGGTAACAAGGTCCTTGTGCACTTCTGCGTGCCGAAAACACCAGCACACGCAAGCACACGCAACGGAGAGGGAAAAGCCAACAAAGCCTCTACCAAAAGGTACCACGAAAAATGCAAAACTTNGGGGGGGGGGGGGGGGGGGGGGGGGGGGGGGGGGGGGGGGGGGGGGGGGGGGGGGGGGGGGGGGGGGGGGGGGGGGGGTCGGGTAGGTGTGCGGGGAGACGTTTTTTGTCCCCCCTTGCCCTAACCCTAATTCACTTTCACTGCCATTGTCCGACACGAGTGATCCCTCACGAGTGGGATTACTCGGTCACAATGTCACCAACGTTGGTGATGCAAGATGAACAGAGCAGGCAGCAGGGCTCACAGCTGACTGTCACATGTGACGTGTCCCAAGCTCGCGCAGCTTTGACTCGAACAGCCCAGCGAACCTCAACGAGCCACAACAAGAACAGAAACTACAAATCTGTGCACAGGCTTACGTGGCTCTCTGTGCTCACCTGTTCCTTGGCCAGGCGATCGAAGGCGGTCACGGCGGTCTGCGCCATGGCTGCCCGAACATCGGCTGCTTCGGGGGTCATGTAGGCGCCGCGCAGCACTGCCATCGGGTACTGCTTGCCTGCAGCCGCCGCCACAGCACGACCGTGTAATACGAAAAAAAACAAATTAAGCGCAGTGCAGAGGAGAGGGGAAAGAATAATAGCACACGGTTTCGTTGTACGACAATGTTAGAGTGTGTGCGCGTGCGTGTGCATCTGTGTTTTGTTGTATTTTTCGTCTCACCTATCGTGGCGACAGACTACACCTTTCGGTGTGTTTTGTTTTGGTGGTGTCGACGTTCAGCCGGGGCCATACAGGAGCAAGGTACAACGGGGACTTGTCTCATGGTAGGGTAAAAGTACAGAAAAAACAGACCGTCTATCGCTGTTTTTCTATGCGAAAGACTTGTGTACATGACACGCGCGCGAGAGAGAGAGAGACAGGGGGAGAGATATGCGGGAGGGAGAGAAAAGAGAGATTGCGAGAGGAAGAGGAAAGAGGGCCAGAGGGGGGCGGGGAGCAAACACCTAAACCAATAAAAAGGGAGGGCAACAACGAGGAAAAACAAAAAAAGCATCTCACGCGCGCTAATGAATCTGCACAAATCGCGACCCACACCTTCTTCCGTGTAGAACAGCGTTGTCATCAAGTAGTCCTCGAGGAAATCTTCTTCCGGGCGGGGGTTTGCCACGGTCGCCGGAGGGAGGCCGTACCTGTTTTTCGTTGTGTGTGACGTGTGTCAACGTTTTCGATGAGGCATCGCTAAGGCGGTTCTAGTGTGGACGAGGAATGTGCTATTTATCTACAAAATACAGAGGGGGGTGTGTGCTCATAGTCGTGCATGTTGAAGTCGTTAGACCATTGACCTCGACTCCCTACAAAGCCGGGACGGAGCACGCCGGGTTCTCACCGGACCAGGCTCTCACATCACCAAGCGCGAAGCGCCGTGAGATATTCGGCGAGTCGCATGAAGGGTGCGCTGCATCCTGCTAAGGGTGTTCGGCATCTTGTGCTTACTTCCTTGCGTACGGATGACAGCTGCGTATGACTTAATTTATTTTCTGGTGCTTTCACTTCCAGAGACAGTTGTAAGCACTGTGTAACTGCCTCGAGGGTGCTTGACCATTTTAACACAACGTGGTGCGATCATCCCCCTTGCGCGGAGTGAGGGTTCTCCACCCCGCACAACATGATCTACTCGACCACCATTATGGTTACCGCCAAAAAAAAAAACGGAGGTAAAAAAAAAAAACGGTAACCTGGTTGCCGAGTTCACGAAGTGAATTGGCTTGTTTTACAACGTCGTTGCCAAGCGACGAAAACCCAACCCCGATGGCAAACACCGGGGGGGGGGAGCTCAGGGGGGGAGGGGTCGTATCCCTATCGCTAACCCCACGCCCCAACCTCACCAAGCTTCATTCCCTCGCGCTAAAGGGTGTCTGATGTTCCACTTACTCAACGGCAATCGACACAGTACTTTATCTACTCCGGGGTTGTTCCGTATAACCCGGGTTTATCCCTCATACCCCAGATTCATCCCGCATATCCGTCGACGGTCAGCCGAGCGCGTTCATTCAAGCAACCACGCGGGAAAACCTGAGAATGGTTCGTGCCAAACAACAATCGAACGACTTCGTTGCATATAACGCCGGCAAGAAACAGTCGTTACAACCAGAAGTCTTGCGGGCACGAAGAAATTGCAAAACGGCAGGTGCTCTCCCCTGCGGATTGAATCGACCACAAGAGGCAATCTTTTAGCGAGAAAAGCGGGAAACGAAGCGATTCCACGGACAGACACCTTGGCGTCAGTGATATGGGGCAGGAATGAGGTGGGCCAACGATTTCCTCATGACTAGGTCAAGCACCACACGAGCATGACTACCCCCGTCCTCCTCAACCTACTCGCAACCGAACACACCGCTTTCCTCTCTCTCTCTTCTCTCTATCTCTATCTGTCTCTGTCTCTCTCTCTCCCTCTGCTTCTGTCTATCGCCATCATCTCCCGGTGGCTCCTTGTTCCCCCCCTCCCCCTCTCTCCTCTCTGGCCCCTGCGCTGTCGCCATCCTCCTTAGCTCGTTCATCTTCTCACCTGATGGGGAGACCGTCCCCGTGCTCGTCCACCAGAGGCAGGTGCCGCAGCTCCCCGTCCACCCCTACGAGGGCCGTAAAGTGTCCCACCTAATTTCCGCGGTAACGTGATAACGACAAGGACGACAGGCGGCAAGAAATCTCGACATTGTTGCTGTTACTGCTGTTGGTGGTGGAGGTTGTTATGGAAGCGTTGTTTTTTGTTTTTTATCATAAATTGGCGCTTGTTGTCCATGTTTGCTATAAAAGTTGTTGCTGTGAATGCTGATATTGTAGTTGTTGTCTTCACACGAAAGGCCGTCGACCACCCGCCTTGCCCAAATTTCAATGCCAGGAAAGCGCAGCACACTGGCGCTGCTTGCTGCTTGCCCCCGCATCTCTCGTTCCCTCTTGTTGATTCTGTTATTACTTATCTTACTAATTTTCTTGCCAATTGTCTTGTTAATTTTCCTGTTGATACTCTCGATCGTTCTCGTGTCGATTCTCTTGTTGACTCTCTTGCTATCTCTCTGATTAATTGTCTTGGTGATTCTGTTGGTTCTGTTTGTCGATTCTCTTGTTCATTCTTGATAACTCTGTCGTTGATTCTCTTGTGAATCATCTCGCAAATTCTCTCGCTCATTTTCTGAATAGTCACCTCGTCAACTCTCTTTGTCGATCCTCATTATGTTAAGTCTCACCTTTCCGACGGTGACGCACGTGTAACCCACAGCGATGGGCAGCTTGTAGCACACGTCGGGATCCACCAGTGTTGGAAGGTACACCCTGCCGATGTTGGACATGTTTCAGGGGGGGCGAGGAAAACCGTTAAGGCCGAAGTCGGTAGACCATGGACCTCGCATCCCCACAATGCCGGGGGGAAGGAGCGATATGCCGGGTTTCCGGTTTGGCGTGTTTCAGGGGGGGG